CACGGCAGAATTTGATTTTCAGCAAGTAACACCCTCCCGCCCAAACAGCGTTTTTTGGGCAGGTTTGCTGTTTGGACGGATGGCGTGTTTTTTCTTTGCTGTTTGGGCGGGGCGGGGGGGGCGGTCTTTTTTTTGCTGTTTGGCGGGCCGGGCAGGGGTCGGTTTTTTTTTTGCTGTTTGGGTGGGGGGGTCGTGTTTATTTGTTTGCTGTTTGGGCCGGTGCGTGTTTGTTTTTTTGCTATTTGGCCAGGGGGGCGTGCTAATCTTTTTGCTGTTTGGGCGGGGGCGTGTTTATTTTTTGCTGTTTGGGCGGGGAACAGGAGTTCACTCACTTACCGGTCTGGCTCGTCTTTAAAGGGCCCAACAACAAAAAAAGACCAAGCCGCAACAAAAAAAATCACAGGTTCCCCTACATATCCAAAAAAATAAAATCTCGGTTTCCATTTAATGTTCCATTCTCTTTCCCATTTGATTTTTGATGATTTCGATAGGGAATCCTACACCCTAAGCATATACAGCCAACTACACTCCCAGTGTCCATTGAACTGTCCATTCCTTGCTGACAACTCGCAATGCAAACTTCAAGCCCGCTATTATGCGACTAGACCCTACATAATCCTGAAAAATCCTGGGCTTGCCATTTGCTTTGCCATTCCTCCATAATCCCTAGCCGAAACCCTAAACGCTAAACTCCAAATCCCGAAATCCCTAAACCCTAAACCCTAAACCCTAAATCCCTAAACCCTAGTCCCTTCACCCCTAAATCACCAAATCCCTAAACCCTTAACCCTTAAACCGCTAACGCGGAAGCCTAAGCCCACCTGATCGATCGGACACCGAGGTTTGCGCCCAGGTTCGGAAAGCCATCGATCGATGCATTTGCGGTGAAAGACATGCCTTAGGTGGACCCCGTAATCGTGACTATAGGGAATGGTAAGGATTACAGTAGGTTCTGCTATATTCCGATTATACCACTGTTGCAGGGTAAGGGGTCTTCCTAAGACATGATTGAAAGAAGGTTTAGAGTGAAGGCCTTATAGGGGTTTAATACAGGTCATATGAGGGTTATATAGGGGCTATATAGGAGTTATATAGGGATATCTACGTAGGGTTCAGATTTAAAGGTTAGGATTTGGAATTTGGGGTTCAGGGCTCAGGGCAAAAAGACGGCAAGCACTTTCTTTCCAAGAGTCAAAACTCAAGGACTGAAAGGTATAACCCCATAACCTCTATAGAACCCCCATAGAAACCGAATATAACTTTTGTACAACCCCCATATACATATAGAACCCCTAAAGAACCCCTATAGAATCCCCATAGAACCCTATGATGGGAACCCCTTTCGATCGATCCCACGCTCTGGCCTGCATGTGTGGTGGTTCCCAGCATTAGGGGTACCTTATTGGGGTGTAGGGTTTGGGGTTTAGGGTACCTGCAGGACAGGGGGTCCTTGAAAAAAAAGGACTATAGTATTTCGGGGTCTATATTGGGGTCCCCCTGTCTTGGGAAAGTACCATGTAGTCACATGAGAACCCTTTGTCTAGGATTCTCAGTGACGTTTTTGATGGAGCTTACCTGATGTGTCTCTCCTGTGATCCTGATCTCATATGGAAGTTGCAGGTGGGAACACCAACTTCATGGAGCTCACGCTTGATAGCATGAGCAAAAGCAAAGGCAGAAAAATGTGAACACACTCTCGACTCTAGGATCACTTGGTTGCATCAAATGAAAGCAACACCGCACTCTAAACCCTCCAAAGAAACCGTACCCACCAAGTATCTACCCCAAGCTCTGAATCCTGGACCCTAAACCCTGAACTGTGAATCCCGAACCTAAAACTGAACTCTTGAGGCCAGCTGCATGCATGGGAGGGTTCTAATCTTGGCTCCCACCTCCATATTTTCCAGGCCTTGGCTTGCCACAGTTAAAAGGGACAGACCCTTCAGTCCCCTTGAAGGTAATCATGGTTATGCATAGAAGTAGGAACTAGTGGATAAGGCTTGGCTTTCTGGGAAATGATTAGCTGCTTCATACGAAGAGCATGAAGAAAAACATAACTGTTGCACAGGCGTGTTATCCGGAAGGTATAAAACCTTTCGAAGGGAAAAAGGCGCCACTGGCAAGGATCTCATGGAGCCTGTTTGCAGGACCTAGCTTGAGAGGGGCGCATCGCAACAAAATTGATATCACTCACAATTCGCGGCAGGATGAATAGACCGAGTAGTCTGAAGGAATGACATGCTTCATACGCGCAGAACTACAGGAGCATGGTCGTTCCCCTCATCTTCAGCATTGATGGCAGTACTTGCCGAAGATCACAAAGGGTGAAGATTTGCTGTGTTCAGCTAGGGACGGGCATCATGACTTAGAACCTCAAGTCCGACGTAGACAGCAGTACACGTCTCTGCGTTGTGAACTCTGAATTGTTTCCATCCGTCCAGCATTGCCTCACAAAATATACCGCACCTTCAGACCCTTCCAGAGCCTTCGAACATTTTGATGGACCTACTGCTACCTTCAGTACATCCCACTCTTGCTGTCCAAGACACAGATCATGCACTGAGCAATGGTGCTGCCAGCAGCTACTTTTGACAAGGGAAGGGCCGCAATGAGACTCTTCTGCAAACACTGCTCCTTGCCATGGGGAGCGGGATATAGAGTTCAGGGCTAGAGAATCACCGTTTCAGAACCTGGTCTGAGGTTCCAAGTAGTTCCAACTTGGAGATGTCCCCACATGCGAAAGCTCAATGCATTGAACTGGAATTTACTCTTTCGTAAAAAGACTGCCCGCCTCATCTCTGTCTGCTCTGCTTGTGGAAGTCTCGTCCAATTGCAGGAGCAGCTCGTAGTCTTCCGCAGTAAAATCACCGCCCTTGGATGCGGATTCCTGTAGCTACTCTTTGGCTCTTTGGCATAACTGTTGGGTTCAGGCTCTGTTGATGCACTGCTGGCATTGCCAGACTGGCAAAAGGGTCTGAACTTCCTCCAAACCTGAACTCAAAAGCATGAACTTCAAGCAAACGCTGCTCCATCAACTTCCAAATTCTGACCCCAAACTTCTACAGCTGATGTCCTCATAATGTTACAAATACACCAACAAGCAAACGGCCAGTCATAGTAGCATTAGGGACATAAGGTGTCAATTTTCATGCGGAGATATCTGGCATGCTTAGTAAGGATCAGCACAGGTGGTTGCATAGGTCTTACGCAACATTTGTGAAATCTCTGCCCTAGTTGGTAGCTCGCTCGTCATGTGAATCAAATGCACCTCGGCCTGCGTCTGGGCGCCGGATTACTTAAATTCCCCTTCCTGATAATAAACACCCCCAAGATAATTCCAATATAATTAGAGGTAATATTCACTATGCGGGGGCGTGGGGATGCATTTATTGAAGCTCTTCCCAGCAAACACTGAAGAAACCGCCAATGGCCCCAGCCTGATCCTGACTGCAACCTAGCCCCAGGGACATGGAAGAACACTTAAAAGCTAGCAGTATTCATGGTTTTCCCCTGCTACCCCCTCTATACTACCCCCCCCCAAGGTTCCCCCCGGAATTAAGGTTTCTTAGGCATAATTAGGGTTACTTAGAAATAATTAAGCTTACTTAAGGTCAATTAAGGGTGTATATGGGGGGAGGGGGGTAGTATAGAAGGGAGTAGTAGGGGAATCCATGAAATATGTACCAGTAAATCACGCTCACACTGAGAGTACACTTAGTCAATATGCAAGCTTGCTAGATTAGGAAGCAGAACCTATTAGGTTCCCCAGCGAACCCTTGATAATATTCCCTCCAATGATATGGGCACCCTTTTTCCTAATGTTCAGCTTTAAGAACGAGACCCCACGATTAAAAAGGGAAAAAAGTGTACTTCTGGGGTACAGTCTCCCTTAAGTAGATAGAATATGGGGTATATGGGGATCTTATTATAGCTTGCCCGAAGCCATATTCTATCTACTTACTCTACTCTAGTTGGCGCCTGCTGTAGCCTTGCTTGGAGCTCGCTCTGCAGCCGATGTCGCGGGCCTGTTAATGCTGAATAGGTCTAGGGTTAAGGTTTAGGGTTTAGGATTTAAGGTTTAGGGTTTAAGGTTTAGGGTTTAAGGTTTTTAGGGTTTAGGGTTTGGTTTAAAGTCTTGGAGCTTGGTGGATTACTACTTGCATAGTTCAAAAATTGGAACTGCGGGCCTCTAGTATGGGCCCTTGACCTGGGGGTCCTTGCATACCTATTACATACCAAATAAAACCTATGACACCGACCTCGGAACCACAGATAGGACACAGCAAACAGGTAACGGCCAATGTTAATGGCCCATGGCCCATGGTTAAGACTTTAGATATAAGGACGCTACTGTCCTTAGCTGGGCTTGGTGTGGGGATACCAAACTGTATGAGTTTCATTCTGACATTTGGGAGTTTCATTCTGACATTTGGGGCAAGCTAGGATATCAATACACGGGGAGTGCAAGTCTGTAAATTCCTTGATAGCCCACAATTCCCAGGGTGCTGAAGGTGATCCCATGCTGCTCGACCACTAGAGCGCGAATTGTTCAAGCCCTAATCTCTAAAACCCCAAACCCTAGACTGGGTTCCTGTCAAAAACATGAAACTGCTCTGAGAATCATACACAACACTCCTCTTCGTATGACATTTCAGAAACCCAAACGAAACCCCGATGTACACAACCACAAAGCAAAGCAAAAGCCTACAACTCTGACCCTGAACTCCCAAACCCTAAACCCTGCAACCTAAATCTCTCAGCCCCTAGACTCTCGCTACTTCTAATTCCTAAACTCCAAAACCCAAAACTCCTGAATCCCCGACTCCTAAAATCCTTTTACCCCTACACACACGTCGCAGATCTCTGCATAAACTGGGTTGCTGTTAAGGAACTTAAATCAAATTACCATAATGGGTATATATAGTAAATAATAGGGTTTCCCCAATATGGTACCCTAAACCCTAAACTCTAAACCCTTTACCCTAAACCCTAAACCCTATAGGGTTTCCCCAATATAGTAACTTAATTTAAGTCCCTAAAATCCCCATATTCCCCCAGTTTCCATTTCATTTTTCATTTTCTTTTCTATTTGATTCTCCATTATAGGGGGGATAATGTAGTAACTTAACAGCAACCCAGTAAAGCTCATGCCACCTCGGCGTCCTGTCGGACGAGCATGCCTCGCAGCCTCCTGCACGATTTAGGGGTTTCTCAAAATTAGGGCTACCTTTTTGGGGGTCCCCACAAGAAGGACCATAGTCTTTTGGGGTCTATATTGAGGTCCCCCTATTTTGGGAAACTAGCATCTAGGGGTCTAAAGATAGCGGATGAGGAAATACAGGGTTTAGGCTTTAGGGTAGAGGATTGAAGGTTTAGGATTTAGGGTTTTGGGTCGTTTTGGGAAATTTGGGTTTAAGACTAGCCCTAGACTTTGAACTCAAAACCCTGGACCCCAATAAGTGCAGCTCCGAACTCGAAACCCCAAACACCCATGCCCCTTTGCCTTTACTTACGCCACGAAAACTATGAACCTCTACATCACCACTTTCAATATCTTTTTCTATATTCGATTTTCCATGACTATACCCTACACCCGATGTACCCCTTTGAATCCTTATACATCCCCATATACCTCCCTAGAACCTCCTAAACCCAACCCTTAACCCTAAACCCCAAACCTTAATCCCCCAACCACTAGACCCTAAACCCCAAACCTTTAAGCAAACCTTAAACTGAAAGGGCCGGACCTCGCTGAAGGCGGCTGCTTCTAGAAAGGCTGCATCGGGAAAGGCGGGTGGACTCAAATGATGAGGCCCTGGATACGAAGATCCACCATCTGCCTGAGCTATCTTGGGTAATCTAGGGTAATAGGTTGTATAGGGTAATATAGGGTTATTTTGGGTGATCAAAGTTCTTTGGGGTAATATAGGGTATTATAGGGTAATATACGGTAATATAGGGTTCTATAGGGTTAGAATGGAAAAAATGGAAACTACTATGAGGGTTCAGGGGTTCATACAAAGATCCACCACCTGCCTGAGCAGGTAAAGGGGTTATATAGGGGTTCATAGGGGTTAAAAAGTAGGGAATACTGAAAAATTGGAAACTACTGGAATGAGGGTATGGGGTTCAGGGATTTTGGGTTTGGGGATTTATGCTTTAGGGCTTTGGGGCTGAGGGCTTGGACTAAGGACTTGGGGTCTAAGCATTCAGCTTAGGGGCCTGGGCTGAAACGGAGGTTTCTAAGGGCTTGGGTTTTGTTTCTCCTGTCAGCTGAGGTGCAAGAATCGAGAATTGGGGTCGGTCTCCAACCCTGCAAAAGAATCTACCGCGTCTTCTAAGAGCTGTGGCCAGTTGGTAACACTCGCGCTTCTTGTGCTGTTGCCCCGAGGCGCTACACTTTCTACGCTAGAGTCACAAATTAGAGTAAGGCCAGCAAAAGCGGCCAAGCATGGCCTGATTCAAGCGTGGAAGTTCTCTGATGGGTGGCGTGCCATCTGCGCATGGTCATCTTGAATTATAGAACGCCTGAAATACCGCGAATCAGCATGATCTTTCGGTCGATTAACCATGAAGAACGACCTGTGACTCGCCACTCAAGCTGAAGGTCAAATGTGTAAACCCAACTTCTACACAAAATCAACGCGAAGCCCAGAGCCCAAACTCTGGATATCTGTCCAGACAACGAGCCCCTTTTTTACCCCACCGTACGACAATGCTCACGACAAAACAGCCAGGAATTTCACATCTCACCTCAAGGACTTACAACATTCTGACAAGTCACAGGTAGCTGCTCGATGGCGGCAAGGGCTGACGACCTGCGAGCACCAGGCTACTCAGAGTATAAGGGCTTTAGGTTGAGGACTTTTTGATTTAGAGTTTAAGGTTTGTTGATTTGGGGCTGTGGGGTTTGCTGCTCTTCGTGCCGGGCTTACGGTCTGAAGGTCTAAGGCGTTCTGCTTAAGATTTGCTTCGGCTTGATGCTTGGTCACTTCAAGGTTTGAGGCGATGAGTATTTTCTGTATGCTGCTTCAAAGAAACAAGGTCAAGAATACAAAAGAAAACAAAAATAATGCACCATGTAGTTCGACTGTCATGGTCTGCTAGAACCCAGTCACTAGCTCTCCTACATCCGAGGTTTGATCCCTGGAACCCTCATGTTACAACTTCCGACAATCCCCTGCCCCAATGCCAAACGGCCTAAGGGCGGACCCAATGCTGATCCACATAAAGAAATGCAATACAAAGTGGGGTACAGATGGTCCCAGTGAAGATCTGAGCGTTTTAAAGGTCTTCAGTTGTTCAGACCTATGCTTTCAAAAAACAGGTGTCCAGACACCTATTGTGATGGCAATGGACCTACTCCCAAACCCATACGAGCCCGTCACCTTTCGAACCAATGAAACATTTACTTTGGGCGAATTCGGGCTTGGGGCTTAGGGTTTCATGGTCCCAGATGACACCGAATGCCTAGCGAAACCCATTAGTGTTTGCTAGTCTTTCGAACAAGAAATGTCACTGGAGAGAAAGAGAGAGCGAGAGAAAAAAAACAAAAACAACAATACAAAACGCCGAAAAATGTGGAATCTCTAACGCGAAAAATTCTGATATCCCTGTCTTTCGTATAACCTAGCCCCAATGCTCCTATAACTATCCCAAAGGGATAGCCTGGCAGCAGGATGTAGACCAGCATCAAACTGCACGTCCCCATGGCCTGAAGGCATCGCAGGCGGTGTGGGATTTGAGGCGTGAATGTGACTAGCATTCATGAAAGAGAATGGCAATGATCATAAACAAGAAAAGTATGAGCAATAGGTTCTTCTCGAAAGTGGGGTTTTGGGGATAGGTACTTGCCAAATCTGAAAGGCTTTCGCAGCACTGTGTTTTGCATCTAGGATCAGAAGGGATTGTGGGAGGAGTGAGGGGGACAGGGCGCCCTGTTTGCAAAATGGGGTCGACGATGAGGACAAATGATTCCTTGCAAAGTTGAGGGAAGGTCTTCCAGGCATTGTGCTTGCTTCAGCAAGCATGACTGGGGAGGCGGAGGGCGCAAACCGCTTAATTTGCAAAAACGCGGGCGAAGATGAGAACATGTAGATTCTTCCTGAATCTTGATAGGCGCGTCCTCGCAGCGCATGAGCTTCTCGAAATTAGCAAGGAACTTCTGTGGCGCTCCAGAAAAAGTGGACGAAGACGAGAACATATGGATTTTTGCAACAAAAACTTGATAGGCCTTGGCGCCGTTTGAGGAACTCAACAGCAAATTAGGCAACTGGGCCCACTAAAGCCTAAAAACCTAAACTCTAAACCCTAAACCCCCCCCCAAAAATCCCTAAACCCCCCTATATCACCCTGGTAAGTGAAGTATCCAACAGATGCCTCGAGATGGCCGCCTGGTTAGCCCTCGGATCAGCGCCAGGCAGGCCTAGACTTTCAGCGTCTTCAAGATTCAGGGATTAGGGCTTAGGGTTTAGGGTCTAGGGTTTAGGGTTTAGGGTTTAGGGTGTTAGGTTTTAAGGCTTAGGGTGTAGTGGGTGTAGGATTTATGGGATAAGGGTTTAGGGGTTGAGGGTGGGTTCAAGATTTAAGGTTTAGTGTTTAGGGTCTCAGGGGTTTATGGGTTTAGGGTCTAGGGCTTTACTGGTTTATAGGGCTTAGGGTTTTTGGGTTTGGTGTTGTTTAAACCCTAATGTTGTAGGTTTCAAGGCTTAGGGTTTAGGGTTTTATGGTTTTAGGCTCTAGGGCTTTGAGTTATGTTGGGAATGTTTCAGGAACTAGTACATGAGTTGGATGCTGGTGTCTCAAAACTGCGGATGTTTGAGGGGGCACAAATGCCGAAAACTGCTCCGAATACAGAAATGCATCAGAACGACACAATGCCCACGACCCGACTCTTTGGATTCCTATCAAGACCTCCTGCACAAGTTGTGTAAGATGCTGGACCCTCAGCCCAAAACCTTAGACAGTAAAGGTAAGGTCTTCACAAGGGCAGAGCACTTGCTCTTACGGAGTCCTGATTAAGCTCGCTTTGCGCAATTGCACAAAATCAGGCGTCAGGTCGAGGCAACCTATTACACCATCATCTCAAGGCCATAAAATGAGCTATAGTCTGACTCCTAGTATCCCCCTTAGTAAGCCCTATAGTAGTCCCATATATAACCCCCTATATAACCCCCTTTAAGGACTTCAGATTATGGCTCAAAGGAAGACCTGAGAAGATTGGTGGCCAACATCTTCAAAAGCACGGAGAACATGTTGGCCCTTGCTGTAGCCTTCAGCATGACTTAAACTGCAACCAGAGCTGCAGGATGCGCTGGATGAGTTCGATGGGACCTGTAATAAGGAGGCTTGGGCAATCTCAAACCCGTTGCAGCCATGGGATAGGTATAGGCTCCTGATTGGGGAGCTGGGGTGACAATAACTATAACCTGTTATCCAGCTGCATGTAATGGCAACTGGCTTCATGTTTGGGACACCTGAGACCTGGTACAGCTCTGGGGTGAGGCCGTTCGAAAATACAGCAGACCCCAATACCTTTCAGTTCTGAAGAATTTGAAAAGGGTTTTGGCATACACTATTCTGTAAATGTATGAGGAGAACTATTCAGGCATTACAGAGCTTGCACAGGCTCCTGTGTGAAATTACTACTCTTACTACTAGTTGTCAACGGCGCACACACAGCAAAGCACACTATTGTCACTTGCCCTGAGCCTGAGCATTCTGTAGTCCTTGGTATATGCTACGTTCTCCTGCATGAACCTACAGTCCGAATAAGGGGGGCCTGTACTCCTGTTTCGGGTCCCAGCCCTGTTCCTGCCACGGGACAAATCGCGCTTGCAGAGGATCATAAGGCAACCAGGCAGGATGTCGGAATGGCAGCCCCGGCAGAGCATGGTGCTGCCGGCCAAGGTCACAACCTGAGCTCTTGACTTAGCTTATATTATATAGGGTTATATAGGGTTATATAGGATTCATATTGGGATAATGGAAAAGAAAATGGAAACTTCTATAGTATATTGGGTTAAGTGATGACTTAGGGCCTAGGGTTTAGGGTTTGGGTTTTGGAGGATGGAAGCTTCAACGGATTTGGGTCGCGGGTTCGGGGTTGAAGTTTAGAGGTAGGGGGATTTACAGTGAAGACTGTGGCTTGTGAATTGATACTGGATCCCTGAGCCAGCCCACTCATGCCGCACACATATTTAAAGCAAAGCAAAATGAGCAGAAAAGAAATTATTGTTTCAATGCTGTAGCATTTCGTTGATTCATAAGAAACCGGTAGAATCTTCACCTCCTTCAGTTTCCGGAAAAACCTGCAGGCAAAGAGCGAAGCGACATCCGCTGTGGGCACGGGCGCTTTGCCGGTCAACGCTCTGAGCCACAGCCTGCTGTGCTTGCTGCAGACCAGTATTTCTAGAGAGTTATATAGGAGTTATATAAATATATATACAGTATTTCTAGAGAGTTATACTATAGTCCCCCTTAAGTAAATAGAATTCTAGGGGTTATATAGGGGTTATTTGAAAAGGGATAATGGAAAAGAAAATGGAAACTACCATATTACTAGAGAGTTATATAGGAGTTATATATATATATATATATGGGGGGTTCTATTGGGGTCATATTGGGGTTATTAGGAATAATGGAAAAGAAAATGGAAACTACTATATAGTAATACTGTTTCATTCCTATTATCATTACTGTTATTGGTATTGTTGCTACTATTCTTATTAACATCATGATTATTACGTACTTCCCGGGCCCTATACCAGGGTTTGGGATTTCAGGGGGCAGTGGTGATTGTCTCCCCTAGCAACCGGCTGCAGCAACAGCTGCAGCAGCACAGGTACCGGTACTACTGCTGGTACCAAAGCAAATATACCAATGCCACGCATCAAATTACAGGCTAGAATGATAACAGCACGGGTCGCCGTCTTCCTTGGAGCAACAGTAGTTGTTCTTGTGATTCTTGTGATAGTGGTGGTAGTAGAGCTGGTGCTGCTACTAACTCCTTTGTAGGAGTAATGTATACTGTCAACAGTTCCCAGCAAGTGCAGCTGAGTCACCTCAGCCAAGGCTCCACCCGTGGAGGCAGCAGCAAGCAGTGCGCGATCCATGGGCGACTCTCGCCAGCGCCCAGCCAAGCAAGGCCTCGAGCAGGCTCCCAGTTCTCAGGCAGGAAGGTAGTGACTATTAGACGAAAAATAGCAGGAAGAATAAGCATGAAAAGAGGAAGCAGCATGAAGAAAGCAGAGAGCCCGCAAGAGAAGGATGACAGTGTCAGCAACAATGACAACGATGATGCGACAGATCATGGCAATTCAACTCTGAACACCCGGAAGCACCACGCTTACTCAGTCTCAGTTGCGAATGTGGAGAATGACCTCTGGCGACCGTGCGGGACTACTATTTCAGGGATCCATTCCTAAGCCAGAGCAAAACACTCCTTGCCTGGGCAAGGCCCCTAGGAGCTCGGGTGGCAGAACCCCTGCCTGCGCCACCTCCTGGAGAGAATAGGGCCCCTCTTCACAAGAATTTGATGGGAAGGTTTATGATGAGAGCCTACTGGATAGTTTGAGGAATGACGTAGGGACTGGGTCAGCTGTTAGCTTTGTAGGGAACAGTTTTGATCTACGGTCCTGACTAGCAATCTGTTTGGGAATATGGGCTTCAGATGGTGCAGCGTCAAGAGGGTTGATTGTGCGCGTCGGACGTGAGGCCACGATGGACCCAGAGGGCCCAATAGCCAAATACGGGTATGACTTTCCTCAATCAAGAGGCAAAGAATGAAGGGACGGGTTCTCCTAGCAGTCCCTGAAAAAAACTCCAACAACATAGTAGTTTCCATTCTTTTGTCCGTTCCTTCATTCCCAGAGCTAAGAAACTGCTCAAACAGTTCCATTATCCCACTATAACCCCAATATAACCCCAATATACTCCATTTCATTTCCCATTTTCTTTTCCATTTGATTCTCCATTATAGTAGTTTCCATTTTATTGCATCTCCAAGCCTGGCCCTGAGACCATCCACGGAGGGCCCAAAAGCCTCAAGTAAGCAGCTCCTTGGATCACATGAGGGTTTCCCAAAATTAGGGGTACCTTTTTAGGGGTCCCCATAATAAGGACTATAATATTTTGGGGCCTATATTGCGGTCCCCTGATTTTGGGAAGCTACCACATGAAGAATCCTAATCGGATTGAAAGTAAATGCCTCTGCTTGGGCTCTGAATGGAAAGACGTCCTTTTCAGCCCCCTCACTCATCAACCTGCCTCCAGCTGCAAGAGCCGGGCTATTTGCATATCTTCTCCTAACCGCTGTAGGCAAGACATTAAAGCTTTCGGGTGAAAAGGCATAAGTTAGGGATTAGGGGTTTGGGGGCTTTCGGTTGCTGGCTTTAGGTTTCGAGTTAGGTTGAGACTGAGGGAGTGGGAGTCCAAGGCTCTCTTGGAAAGGCCCCTCCCGCTGTTACCATAGGTGTTACGGGGCTATGATGTGATGTGGTTCATATGGTGCGTTTGGATATACTTAACCTATGAAAAGACTCACCAAAGTGGACATTATACGGGTAGGCTCAGCGGTGCTAAGCACAGAACCCTGAACTCCAGACCTTGGGGCTTCCGAATCGGATTTTCGGAGTGAAGTCCAAAGGCTTAAGCAAGGGGGAGCACCCTGGCCTTTAAAAGCAGATTAGGGTTCACGATTTCTAAGGAAGCCATGCTCCTGACCTTCAGAAACACAGATGCATCTGTCTCAGGTCCTTCGGGCCTCCGAAAAAAAAATGGGTCAGGGTTTTTAGGTTTTAGGTTCTGCTCCCCCGCAAAATGTCCACATCAGTGTACTAGGGTTTGGGCCCCACAAGACCTGTAGAACAATTGTGGTGTCGCTAGCCATCGCCCTACTACTCTGCCAAGAGAATACATCTATAATCCTTTCATGAATTTTAGCAGCAGTCTTCTTTGGAATCCGTACATTAAGGACGACTGGCAGCATTGCTGTGCAATCCTGACAATGCTGGCACGTGATAGTTTACCTCAAGCATACTTTAGAAACTACTGATTTCTTAGGCGGCGAAATTCGAGCATCATAGATGTTCAATGTGGCACCAAGAATTTAGGAAACCCCCAACTCTTTCGCATCCCCTTAGCTGCTGCACAGATCTGCCACCAAGCCTCAAAAACCCTAAAAGGCCTGACACCCAAATCCCCAGATCATGAATCCTCAACCTAGCAGTTCCAAAGCCCTAAGCCTCAACACAGTCCCCGCAACCTCTGAGCCCCTAAACATCGCAACCCAAAAGCTTCAGCCCTGCAGCACCTTAACCCTTATGCCAAAACCCTTATGCCAAAAGGTTGTGAACTGCAAGGCGGCAAGTGACCTAGCAACTCCCCAATACACCATGGTCCTCTCTGATAAACCCAAGGCTCCCTCAGGCTCCGCCATAAATACTCCTCTTGGACCCACCCCTACATCCTAAACCCTATACCTTAAACCCCAAACCCCTAAACCCTATATCCTAAAACCTATACCCCAAATCCTATACCCCAAATCCCTAAACTCCAATTCCTATAACCAATACCCCTAAACCTTAAGGACCTGATAATTATGGGATCCCTCCACCTCCCGCGGAGCGCCGGCGCCGGCGCCGAGGAGTCGACCGACCTCCCGCCGTGGAGTCAGGCTCCTCGCTTCTGGAGTGTGGGGTTCAGGGTTTTGAAGGCTTTGGGATTTGGGGCCTAGGCTTTTAATTCAAGGTTCGAGCTAAAAGGACTTAGAGCTTGGGGTCTAGGGTTTAGGGTTTTTAGGTTTACCTTGCCGTGACACTTGCACCAAACTGATACGACAACCTGCCACACCTCAACACACGTGCAAGATCTTCCAGGTCCTCTTCATCAACAAGCACCGTTTCTTCATCCTTGGCTGTGGTGACTAATTCCTGGTCTTTCCTAGTCGGATTGGCGCAGAACAAAGACTAGAAGCACCCTCATCCATCAAAACATCTGCTTAGCCTCCAAGTTTCCGGGCCTTCCAGCACAGGAAGCACGGCTGATGACGCAGGCCTGGATGCAAAACTCCTGGGCAATGCACGTGGCCGTCGAGCAGAGCGCGGGCTCCTTTGGTCAGCCTGGCAAAAACCTTCTTCTGCCCCTCCATCACCTCCGGGCTCTGCAAATTCCACCGCACCCTCAACTGCATCGCGACCCCCACTGCTCGTCCCACCGCTGTTCGCCACCGTCACATTCAGCCTGCTGGGCTGGCTGGGCTCAGTGGGCTCAATGGTTCTGGCATGTTCCACCTCTGGCTCCTCCGGCACGGGCCGCGAAAGCCACTGAAAGCGGGGCCCTGAACGTGGGATGCTGGCAGGTGCAGACTCCTCAGCGAGGTCAATGTTGGTGCGGCCGTGCGCCCTGCCAGAGTTCAAGCTCACCAGGACACTTGAGGCATTATGGTAAAAGTAGCCCTGACATCCATGAGCTCATCCAAAACTACACCCTGAACGCTGCTGGCTCCCACTAGAGCAGTTGGATTCGTTGGGTCACCAGCAATCCCCAAAAGCACATGACATCTCAAAACATCATCCAACCATAATCTGACAGAAGCCAAAAACCCTAAAAGAAACCGAAAACCTTACCGTTCGGGCTTCTGCCTGTGATACAATCCCCTACAGCTTACAAGTCCACAAACCCTATGCGCCCAGAAACCCTATCAACTACCACAAACCCGATTCTCCCAGTCTCTAAGCAACCCTCCGCTCCAAGTTGAAGTCATAAACGTTGACCCTGTTGTGCTCCTTAGAAACTGAAATCTAGGGTTCTCAAGATCGTATCCTGTACCGTAGGCTCTGAACCTCGCCCACGAAAAAAACTCGTCTGCAAACCGGTTGGAGCTTGGAAAAAACACTAACTCGAATGAACGGTAAGCCATGAAGACAGTCTGGAAGACTGCAATCACGGAATAGACTGAAAAAGCCCTAGACGCCCAAACAAACAACAGATCCCGAAACGCTCAAAAAACACAAGAAAAAACCCTAAAACGCTCCAAGCCCAAGTGAAACCCGTCAACCCCTCAAGCCAAAAAACGAAAACGCGCGCCGTCCCCAAACATTTTGAACCCCGAAAAAAGGGGCGCCGAAGGCCGAAGAAGCCTGAGCCTCAGAATCACTGAAGCTATACACACATGTGAAACCCTAACGGATACCACCAAAACGAGAAGCCTTGAAACTGCCTCCCATTTGCTAACCCTTCAGCAACACCTTGAGATCCTCAAGCTAAAAACAACTTCCAGATAGATAAGTTGCGACAGACATTAAAACTGTAAAACACCCTGGGCAAAACATTGACGCTGAAACGTGTCAAAATTTGGAGCTATCAAAGCGCCAGAAAATTGAACGCCCAAAACCTCCAAAGCATCCTGAGCCAAACAAACACAAGGTAATAAAACCTTTAAGACCCCTAGCATTCAAACGCCCAGACAAACATCTTGAAAACGCACGAAGCTGACCACCAAAAAAATGCCACGCCCACACAGACTGGGCCTTAAAATTTCCCATACTGAAAAGAAACTCCGAAGCCTGCAGCTCAAAAAAATCCAAACAAACCTAAGCCTCGGAACAAAACCTGTGCCCTCAAAACCTAGTCCTACAAGACGTCAACCTGTCCAGCCCTGAACAACATTCAACCTGAAACACACCCAAAAAAAACACTGTAAATCCTCAAACGCCCAGACCAACAACCTTGAATGAAAAAACTTCGAGGACTGTGTGCACCAAGAAGTTTCGGAAAAAATTGAGCCTTTCAGGCTCTGGTGCATCCCAGAAGAGCTCATGTCGATCCTTCAAGCTGAATGTTGGTCGTCGAAAACAACGCCGCTAATTTAGAGGCCTAAACTAGAACAAAGCTGGTCACATGTCATGCCCAAAAACCTAATGAGGATGTCATGGAAAATTGAAAAAGAATGGAAACTAGGGTTCCACAGGGATTTACAGCTGCCAGGGTGTAGAGGCTTGAAACATTACCAGGATTTTGGTCCCGTATTTCTTGTATAAGTACGGTACACGGCATCTCTGACGTAGAGTACTGCAAGAAGTCCTCCTTCGACAGCTTAAGCCCCCCTCAAACTTGTTGTTATATTTTTAGTTTCCCGCCCTTATGATGTCATTTCTGCTCGAAGATGTTCAGGGGATGGTGTGCCCCCGCAAAGTTTGAGAATCCTGCAATATGATAGGAGCCCAATACTGGCAACCATGTCACACCCCTGTGCAAAATGTAGGTTTTTATGAATGGAAAGTCTTCTCGGGAGGCGTTCAGGCTCTTTTGAGGGGTTCAAACATTCAGGTTTTGGGCCGACAGGTTTTGGGCTGACAAGCTCAGATCAACATAGGGATACACTGGGGGATGCGTAGAAACATGGTAGGCGGCAGAGCTGTGTATCAATTGCGTAATAACCTCTGTACTTTCACAAGTTCATCAGCCCATTGATTGTCCATCATTGGAAGTGGTTGTATTACAGTGCTACTGAATCTGTTCGTTCGTGAGCCTCACCAGCTCGGCCAGCGTGGCATTCCGATGCAAACTATCGTTGTTGTCAAAACTGCAATCAATGGTCGGGTTTTGTTCCGTATGCGCATCCATATACCTTCATCAAGCGGCACAGAATTTTGTGAGGCAGAACCCTGAAATCCCCAGAAAAGACCGAATTAACCCTCAGAGCCCTCTTGCAATGGCTTCAAAGGCCTAGCAATAATCACCCTAAATTATAGTGCGTCCACGATAATCGTTTCCCCCTAATATGAAACCCTCCTTACCATAAAATACGGGTGCCCCAGAATGCCCAAGTCTGACATAATGACATATGCCCCCAAGACTACTTCAAAAATGGCCAAGACTGAAACTGAGCTCAAATCCTCTGAACTAGGGGTCCTAGCAGGACTCCTGAGGATTAGGGATCTCCCTGATTACCTAGATTTTGATTGTTTTTAGAAGGTTGCTATACAGGAATTTCAATACATGTCAATGCGATGTTAATAGGATTTATTGTGATTTGAAATAATTTCAATTTAGACTCAAATGCGATCTTAAGTAGATTTCAACTGATTCCTCTCTTTAAATGTTATATGGATTTTGGATCGATGTGTCTTTTATTTTCCTTCAGTATAAATACATTTGCACTGATTGGATTACGATGTTGAACTGACTTCCAATTAGCTATATCCAGTGTGTAATCAGATTTCGAACGCTTTATATCTCATTTTAGTACGACTTTACAGTAATCGGATTTTCCTTCGATTTTACTCAAATCTCAGCAGGATCCTGTCAATTTACCCCGCCCTAACCGCCCCTAATGTTCGGGTCGTACGATCAAAACCCTCATCGTGTTAAGTTTGGGTCGGAATATACACATTGGCAGGGAGGCATGTAATATTAGGGGGAAGGATTAGTTATGCTTTGTTAATCTAAGGTATGTTCTTTGCCAAAAAAAACATCGGGCTCCCCGGGCCAGGCCTCCACCACTGGCCGTCGCGGACGCACGTTCCGCTCAAGAAGGTCTGGCTCCGGGGCAGCTGGCTCTGCAGGCGGAGTATCTGCGGATAGAAGGTCTTCAGGGGTTGGGGTTTAGGGTTCAAGAATAAGGTTTAAAGTTCAAGGTTGATGGCATGAGTTCCAAGTTCAGGATATAAAATCTAGCGTTGAAGGTTCAGGGGTTTGTGTCGTTTGTAAAAGGATGAGTGCTTTTGCCACCCAAGCCGTAAGTTTCCTTGTGCCACCCGACCTGTCACTCCAAGGGAAACCCACAGTGCTTACATGAAGGTTCCTGGATAGCCAGATGTGAGGTCTTCTGGCTATCAAATGTGAAGTTGTAAGCACGCTTAAAACCTCTATAACACTAGCAATCCCCTAACAGCCACCACTTATAACAACCCATACTTCGAAACAACGATCAACCTCACATATCTCTGTACTCAGTACTTTGCACTGCCCTGAATAACCCTACAACTATGAGCCTGCAAGTATTGCAGCACTAGATACGCGGCTCCAACTGACCCAGATAGGGTATTCAACTCGACGCACTGTAAGTTTGTATCAGACATGAGTGCCTCGGGCTGAACTGGCTCTTGTAAGTGAAAATGTCTACGCCAACACGTGGAGCAGAGCCGCAACTTTTAAGCCCTCTCTGCGCCAAAGATGACCTAGCAGCGAAATAGCCAATCCAGACACCAACTCAAAGCCCGTGTACCCGGCTTAAGCCCCCTTTCTAGCCCCCAGCTAAGCTAAAAGGCCTGGTGCAATTCCGGAAGAAAAAACAGAACAACTGTCCTTCGGCTTCTCGAGGATGAAAATTAGGCACACACCGAGCATTTTGGAGGGCCACAGAATGTCTATCTGTGTAAGGGCTCATAGTTTTTAGTGAACCCGATAGATAGTCCCAGTTGCCGTTTCCTGGTCCGCTTGATTTTCCGTTTTATTCTCCATGATCTCCGTAAACCCTAGATCTCAACTCCTAAAAATCCTAAACCCCGACCCCCCACCTTCAAACCCTAAAATCCCAAACTCCAAAATTGCCTTCGATATTTACCTCCGCCGCACGCTTCGGAAGCCGGCCGAGCCATGCCATGCGCACGGTTAGGCTCTGAACAAAACGAATTTGGTGGTTTCCCAAAATTAAGGGTACCTTTTTTGGGGTCCTGACAATGAGGACTATAGTATTTTGGGGTCTGCATTGGGATCCCCCTATTTAGGGAAACTACCATTTAGGGTTGACGGCCAAAGTTTAGGGTTTGAGGCTTCAGGGCTTAGGAAGGTTTTGGGGTTTTAGGGTTGTGGGCTTTAGGGCTTTGATGGCTAAGAACCTCAGAGTTTAGGGTTCTGGAGCTTCAGTGGCTTTAGGGGCTCACGGTTCTAGATTGTTAAGGGTGAA